CCTACAGTTATATAGTATCGGTATCAGAATTATATGTATAAAGTAAATTTTCGATTATGAAAGATATCCTAATCGAACCAAAAATCACAATCAAGATCCTTAGAGAAGACAAAAAAATCTAGAAGATCGATTTTTGCACAAATCAGATCGAGAAAAATAATATCACGAAATACAAACGAAGCATCAATAGATAGGTAGGTATGTCTAACTCACTTTAAATTCAACCAAATCTCGAAACCGTTTGTGCGTTCCGGCCAAACGTAACCCATCATTACTCTTGGCGCGTCAGCGGTGATTTATAAAATCGATTAAAACTTCGTGCTCAGTTCACATTCCGAAGCAAAATCGTACAAAAGATAAGCTTCCTTTCTTTTGTTTACTGCTAAATAAAGACGTTGACGAAACGTTTTCAGCGACTGTTCGAATAATTGCTTTGAACTTTATCGTACGAATTATTGGCCCTAGCTCTTGTTAAGTGCTCAATAAAAATACATTGTTTTTTTTTGTTTGTTCGAAGTGTTATGCAAAAGAGTATCGCAGTACATAATTGACAATTTTATAATTACTGGTAATAGGGTGTGTTACATGGCCATATGGGTAGGTACCACCACCCTGCCTACTTTTGCAGTGAAGCGCGCTTAATGTCTATGGGCTCTGGTAGCCAATTAAGATCAAAGCCGCTCCAGGTGGGAGCTAGTCCACCCATCTAAGAAATACAAATAATGGCACTAAAATTGGCAGGGTAAATTCATAGGTGACGAAGTAGCTAACGAAGCCAACAGACCACCACCGATACTGAGATTAGGGTTCCAAGTCCCATGTACACTGAATAACTGTTTTGCGTCAGGGATAGGTGGTACTTGCTCGTGCTGACCTATACGCTTCTAGGTTAGTTTGCGTATTTACTGGTGTTAAGGAATACCTTAAGGCATACCTTACTTATAAACTAGGTTAGTTTGCGTACCTTAAGGTATGCCTTAACACCAGTAAATACGCAAACTAACCTAGTTTGATTTTTAAATCATGTTACCTTTAGAATTTTTACTTTTCGGATCTCGTATCTTATTAGTAAAATCTTAGTAAATTAGAGTAGAATCCAGAAGCAGAGTGCAGAAAAACATGAAGTCTAATACGATGGTAAACTCTGCGACTATAAATGAGGAATTGTAGATATGCAGTCCTAATTGAAGTATTATTACTACATCCATATCATTTGTCCTAACTGTAGTATCTTCAGCTTATTTTCTTTTGTCGATTGGTTCCACCATTGAACTTATTTTTACAATTGTACATGTTCCATTCGTATCAATGTGATTTCCGGAAATTATCACTTAACTGCAAGCCTCAAATATGCTGAATACAACCCCAGTGAATTTGCGATTTACGTCCGTGTATTTTAAATTATTTCATCTTGTATTTACAACTGAACTTAAATTTGGCTTATTATAGAGCTTAACCTAGTTTCTGTAAATAAAATGAAAAGTCGTTAATACTTAATGGGTGTGGCCAGAATTGAATTAACTAGCAGTGTCAGAGGTAATTGCCACGAACAGGTTTCCATAGCATATACAGAGTCTGCTTTAGACTCCATTAAGCCGTGTGTATGTTTTCTTTAATCTATTTTGAGTTAATTGTTTACTATACTGAGTATTTTTAATTGAACACAATTGTAACATTACCAACTTTGGTAGTTTTATTGCCGTATTTGCACCTTTAAATCTTGGCTCGTTTATTACCTTTAGTTGTTAGATAATTCAACACTAAGATATATGTTTAAAAAATACACTAAAATTTGAAATTTTGTTCACCGTCTATGACATACAGATTCAAAACTGCGAGAAACAATTCTAATCAGTACAAATCACTAAATCCTATTTATTGTATAACGTCCATGAAAGGAATCATCATATTGCCATTGTTAAACGTGATTTGTAAAAATAAAAATGCGACTTTCCGCCAAACTTTTTAGGACTGTAATTAAACAGTTTCACAACGATCAACACGTAACTCTGGAACTTTACGGCTACAAGCCAACTCGCCGAAATTTATGCCGACGCTTCCTGTCCAGTTACCCGAGATTGCCTAACATTGTAGATAAAAATCCTATAAAAATTGCCACTTAAAAGGTTTTTTTGTGCGAAAACGAGAAATTTCAAAGCGACGATTTAAATTGCTAATACAGATTTTTTTGCCCTGGTAACAACGGTGTGGAGGCCGTAAAAGTTGTAGGAGCTTTGGGTTTTTGGTTTCAAAATAGCTTTTAAGCCCATCTGTCGATCACATAAAAATGTCCTCCTTCTCTAACTTTAACTACCGCTTTGGGCTTTATCCGCTTGGACTTTTTGACTATGGTCAAAGTCTAGTACTTCAGCTAGCTCAAAAAGAATCAAACCGTCACTTTGAAAATTATTACAATATTTAAACGTTAATACTAATATATATAAGTACATAAGTAAGTTACTTAAGAAAGTACGCTATGGTCATAGTTTTATTTAGACATATTTGGGTTTGACTTAAAATTTTGTGTGAAAATAATGTATAGCTGTTATGCCTATCTCTTTAGAATAAAACTGAATACCAGATGTTGTCTGGACTAAATCGATTATTGAGTTATTTTAAATGGAACTATCTTATAAGGCTGCAAAGCACAACAAAGCAAATTTGCTACTGTGTTAAGGTTGACAGCCAAATTCATATTGTAATGTTTCTTTGAGCTTAATAACCACTATACTGATTGGCACGTGGAGGATAACCAACCGCATAACCAACTAAAACATTATCAACAACTATAGCTATAGCTACATTAAAATTTCCAGGTTTTAAGCTGTTAATCACTATTATAAAAATATTTTTTCATGGTTGAATCAACAGCTACTCATAAACGAAATAGTTGTTTGAAATCGCAGAGAAAAAATCGTGCGGCTGCTTAAGGACATGCAAGTTGCCTTTGACTCTTTAGAAAAATAATTTCCTGCAATGAAATGCCGAAATAAAACCTTGGAAGGTATTTTCCCAATTTACAGATTTACACAGTTAGTATTAATACCTCTATTAATAAATTCAAATGCCAAAAAGAAGCCTTCAATTCGGCGAATAGAAAATATTAAAAAAAATTAAGTTCTCACTATGCCATCCCAGTACATTTTTGAAAATTTGATGTATGTTCGTAAACATATTGAGGAGTTTCCTAAAAAGTCGGACATACATAATAGAAATACTAGGAACAAACACAAGCTTGTTGTGCCGATGAGTAGGTTACATAAGATACGAAATTCATTCGGGTGTTTGTCTGTGCGCCTGTACAACAAAATCCCACAAGATGTTCAGAACCTACATATACATAGGATTAAGAAAACTATTAAAGAACATCTGTGCAATAAAGCTTACTATAAAGTCAATGATTATCTAGATGTTTGCACAAAGTGGGAATGAGTTGCTTGCTCCGGGCATTTTAATATTGTAGTAATTGTTACGTTATAATACTCATTGTAAAAAAATCCTATTTAAAAAAATCTAATATTAAAAAATAAATAAATAATAATTTCATATTTAAAAAAAAAAGACATGCCCGCTGAGTTTCTTGCCAATTCTTCTCAGGACGGAGGCTAGTTCTTGTGAATTGGCGGTAGTTCTTTTGACGTTCAACAAGTATGTACTTTCATTTATGTTGAATAAAAAAATTTTGATTTGATTTGATTTGATCTTAATTTCTGGAGCCCAAATTACAACATCCTTTTTAGAATAGTTTCTGAACCTAAATCATTAATCATGGCATAGACCGTATAATAATGTAAACTAAGTATTTAATTTCATGGATCGTTACGGTTATTGAAACGTGCCAGATTATTGCTGTCTACTGATAAGCCAAAACTGCCAACCCGATCCAATTAATTATTTAAATACATAACATGCAGATACTAGCTCCACTTTTGTTTTCTGCAAAGTTCGCTGTCGTAAAATTTATTTTTACTCTTAGCTGCTTCAAATGTTCAATATTTATTGAATATCAATGTTACACGGTCACGATGGCTATCACTGATAATATAAACCATTGATATAAATTATCAATAAAAAAAATTCAGACGTACCTCGTGCAAGCAAATATGAACCCACCGAAAAATAATTCAGTCGGTCGAATCCCTCTGAAATAATGCTCTGCTATACGAGTATGTACATATGTGGTAATTGATTGAAACTTGTATAGGTAATAATTAATTTGGTTGCAGAAAAATTCTGTGTTGTCCAATGTTCGACCTCATAGGTAAAAAGGAAATTACCTAACAATTAATTGATTTAGAGGTGTGTAATTTTTTTTCCTACCTATGCTTATAGGCTTGAGAGACTATTTATTTTCAGCTTCTCCTTGACGCGAAGGTGAGCTTACGGAGCTCAAACCGGGAGTATTACTACCACTGGCTCTAGCAAGAGCAGTGCTTCGCAAAATCTACCATCGGATCGGAAACGCGATCCACTGAGAAGATCCGGCTAGAAACTCAGCGGGCTGTGTCTATGGGTTAATTTACTCGTCGAGCCCTTTGTCGCAAGCGACGGGTTGGGCGAGGACGGTGACCGGTGCTTGAGGTACCTAAAAGCACCGTTAATGGATTGGGAGGATCCGTAATGACGTGTTTAGGGCGACGTCGACTGTGTTATTCTGTTGACCCCGTGCTATTGCGAAATATACTATCAAAGAAAATTATAATTAATGATGAACTACAAAGGTCCATATATAATATCAAAACAAGTTTCTTGATTATATACATAATATACTTAGAAGGTGAAAAATGAGCAATGATTCTCTAAAATTTTTCAACGCTAATAATTTTAAATGTATACAAATTCAGATAATTAATCACCTGTAGAGGTCAAGGCCTATGTATCCGCTAGGGTTCACCATAATAACCAACAGGTTTCTTCTAACATTGGAAGTAATTAAATGTAATGACATTTTTCATTTTGTTTCAGATAACTGAAAAGCCGTGGGAAAACAACAATGTATCGGAAAAACAAGAACCATGCTTTCGAAATAAGATGATAGATTCAAAACAAGTAAAAAAAAATGAAAATAACCACATAACAATGCATGTGCCGGAGATCTTTCTATCATCTGATCTGACTCCTGAATTCAATGAGATTGTATTCGAAGTGAACATTTCATTGGACAATGAGACCCGGAATGCCACTGATGTTCACGGGGATGTCGGTGTTAACAACTGGTGGGCGCTTGTGGCTTCAATGCTGGTTATTGCAACGGCCACAGGGAACGTCTTAGTCTGCCTCGCCATTTACTTGGAGAGGAGGTTACAAAACGTGACGAATTATTTTCTGATGTCGCTCGCTATAACAGATTTACTTGTCGCCATTTTGGTCATGCCGCTCGGGATTCTAACTTTAGTTCGAGGTAAGATCGGTTTTTTGTTGTACTAGTTAGTTAGTAGAACTTAATACAAGTTTAAAACAATTTTCAAAACATACGAGTATTTTATCAGCATACTTCCATTACCCTGTCTTCGTTCCATACGAATATATTGTTGCCAGTAAACCAACATGTTAATTCATAACCCTTGTCCAAATACTAGTGGTCGGGTTTTTTGGGTCCCTGCTCTTGTAATTTATTGTTTTTTTTCTCTCTCATACACCGAGAGCAGTCAAGCGGAATAAAAGTGTAAAAAATTACATTAACTATGACTTGAAGACAGTTATATATCACTATTATAATGCCAGGTATGTTTACCTGTATCAAAATTAGCTAGCTTAGTGTTAAGACCCAAACCATAACTATCGTATCTTTCTAATAATTATTACATAATTATAATATTCCAAGGCAACCCGGATATTTCCCGGTCAAATATCATCTAATCTATTTCTGTTCACGAAGTAATTAAAACTATACTAAAGTAATTAATCAAACTACATTCGAAGTTATTTTTGGTGTCAACATTTTAGGGTCGGAAGTATTTCGAAACACGAAACTTTGTAAGTTTAAGCATACATCAAACGTCTTAATTAATTGTGGTACCTCAAATTTATTAAAACTCCTATGAGTTTTTATACTGTTTTAAAAAAAAAAGCAAATGTCATAAATAGCTTCTAACTCAGGTTTAATATCTATTTTAGAATCAAGCTAGAATTTATGCTTGGGCCAGCGATTTGCAACATCACATATGTTGTGAACTTTATTACTAATTGATCGACCATTGTTTTTTTTTTTGTTGTCTTCCTCTCAGGTCTCTTTTGTTAAGTAAAATTTCAATCTTACCCAGTCTTTGTGTTCTATTTCTCTATACGGCTTTATTAAATCATCTCTCTACACCAAAATGTGAAAATGGATATTATCATGCTGCTATTTATGAACATCAAATTAGTCTTGTTATGAATTCTGAAATTTCCACGTTCCACGGATTCGTGACGCAGAATTAAATTTTTCGACTAGCCTGTATTAAGCGTTTAAAATGATATTTAAATTTGGATGCTTTTTCTGAGTAGTACAAATAATGATTCTTGTTGATGCCAATGTATTTTAAAAGGTTATGTCCATTGAGTTTTTCGTCGGAGCTTCTCAGTGGGCCGCGATTCCAATCCGGTCGTAGATTCTAGCACTACTCTTACTAGAGCTAGTGTTAGAAAATTTTCTCAGGTTGAGCCCGTCAGCTCATCTACCACGCGTAGCTGAAATAGCACCTAAGGCTGCCAGCGAAAAGGTAGGGAAAAGGGGCTATAACAGTTGTTTTACAGATTTAATTGAGATTCAGTCTTATTTCATAAGGTACACAGCTGAAATTTCATTGTCTTGTCTATAAGCAGGTATCCACTTAAGCATTTGATACTTTATAAAAATAATATTGTAATGACAGTTAGAATTTGCCGACTTTATAATATGAATTCTATGTTTCCAAAGCAATCAGTTATTCCATTTTGAAGGATGATATTTTGGATCCACAAATGAGTAATTCGTAGTGCTCTGTTGATGTTTAGTGTAGTATCTATATATTAATACGTGAAGCAAAAACTTTGTATCCCTTTTTACGAAAATTACGCGGACGGAGGAGTATGAAATTTTCCACACTTATAGAGAATATAGAGAAGGAGTGCACAATGCTCATTTTTTTTTTAATAATGCATAAAATATACATTAAATCAATAAAGAAAACATTACACACTCTACATACCATGTATTTGACGCACACACGCATGTATACTATTTATTGTCAAACTTTTGTTCTTGACGTCTATTGTCAAATTGAGAATAGATTAAATACACATTAAATATTGTTTGTCTTTGTTAATATTTTTTATAGTGTAGTCTTAGCGAAATTTGTGATTATAGAAGTATAAAATACAATCATAATAGTGGAAAAACTTGCAATTCCAATTAATTATAGTCGAATTTCGACTACTGCGGGACCTCTAGTTTTAATTATTTTATCGATCGATTTTAACGATTAATATTGAACCATCGAATAAAGATCGCAAATAGCAATTCCGTACATAAACGAAGACTAAATAATTATGTAGTGCGTACTATAAATTTTTGCAAATATAATTTCAGACTCATGTATTGTTTAGTTCAGCAAGAAAGTCAATCTATGATATCATTAATACTCTGTTATGTAATAGTAACTGATAGTGCCTGACGAATGGCAAATGGCAATTAATATTTTATAAATCTAAAGCCCGTGTCTCAATAACACCTAACGTCAAGTAACATAATGGACACAGTTTCTTATTTATAAGGCCCTAAGCAGATCTAAAACAGTTACTCTAGAAATAATTTACAACTGTGTCCATTATCTCCTTTACCTCGCACAGTTTTCGTTCATGAATTTCCCTAATACCCAGCGAGGTTCTTTTGCTACACAATAAAATATCAAAACCATTCCCTCACGTGTTATGGCGCACTAACATAAACGCACGATAAATCCTTACAGAATATAAGGGGAACAAGGGTACGCGATACGATCGCTCGTAATCCATACAAAATTACAAAGATCTGTGCCCGCTGGAAATGTAGTCAGGTGATGTATGATTTTAAATGAAATAGCAATCTGTTTAGCTTCTAATCATTTCTGTACATGTAAAAGTTATGAATTAACACTAAATAGAACCTGAACTTGATCACAGTTGTATAAACTACAATGAAAAAAAAATGGAATAATGTCTAACAGTCGTCAAATGTCATTGGTAAAATGAAAGATTTACAGCGATGTATGGCCGCAGTGTGACCGCAGTTGTTACGAAAAAAAATCCCGTTCCGTCATACATTTACGTGTAGGGCTACACAAGGATATTTTGGTACGCATACCAAATTTCCGGTATTCTCCGGAGCTGCCTCAGATATTTCGGCCTTTGATATTCGTGGGAATCTATTAAGGGCCCACGCAAAAATACTCTTTGCAGAATTCGAATAGGGCTGAGCGTCACCCCCGATGTTTGGTGTGTCCTCGAACTTTGGACACCGAATCCATGCTACAAGCTAGGTCATATATTTTTTAAACCCTAACTAGAAATTGTTTGATGAGGAATGCTACGTTTGCATTTTAAAATCAATATTAGGCACACTTCAAAAAATATTCATAGCTGGGTAAAAGGTCATCTGATCCCAAACTAGGACTCTCTATACTATTAGAACCAAAGACTGACACAATAATAGATAAATAATATCCGGGAACAAAACCGGTTCCATCCATCATCCGTTTCCAAATTACGATTAACTGTATTACGTGTACCAGAGACTTATATATATACTTATATACGTTTACATATATACATCTATAGATACTAAACGCCCAGACAAAGAGCAGGCAAATCTGTTCATCATACGATTGTTTGGCCGATGTGGGATTCAAACCCACGACTCTCGGTGCAGTGGCCAGTAGCTCTAACTACTGCACCGAATCAGTCATATCACATATCCGTTTCAATTTATACATATATGCATAAATATTAAGCATCTATACCAGACATACTTTATTCTTTATTCTTCTACCCACTCATTTAAAGCTTTCCTTCGTTAAGAACGGTTAGCTGGTAGAAAACTCAATTGTTGAGTTAAGCTCGCCATTTTCTTATATCTTATCGCAATTACTGTAATATTAACTGTGTGTGTACAATAAAGAATAAAGACAAGACATAGCGCAATCAAATTTTTTCGCTAACTAGTACGCCAATGAATCAGTCAGTTTTGTCTATATTCCCACTAAAATACCGAACAGTAAAATATCCATATTGTTAGTTGAGTCACGTTCAGAATGATTTGCGTGTCCAATCCGATAACAATGAATGGCGCATTACAATGTTGTTCAACGGCATTAAAATCATGAAAATGACTAATTTTGACTTTTTTTTATGTAAATGAGGTTTGATAATTACTTCGATATAGATAAAACTCATAACTTACCTTCGTAGCTCACTGATATTTTATCTCAGAAACCTAAATAGCGTTGACAATGATGTCATTAAATATTTTACATGGAAGCGTCTCGTATTGAAAATTAATAAGTCTTATCTATATATTAATACGTGAAGCAAAAACTTTGTATCCCTTTTAACGAAAATTGCGCGGACGGAGGAGTATGAAATTTTCCACACTTATAGAGAATATAGAGAAGAAGTGCACAATGCTAATATTTTTTAAAAATAATGCATAAAAGATACATTAAATCAATAAAGAAAACATTACACACACTACATACCATGTATTTGACGCACACACGCATGCATACTATTTATTGTCAAACTTTTGTTCTTGACGTCTGTGGTCAAATTGAGAATAGATTAAATATTGTTTGTCTTTATTAATATTTTTTTATAGAGTAGCCTTGGTGAAATGTGAATGTGTGATTATAGAAGTATAAAATACAATCATAATAGTGTACAAACTTACAATTCTAATTAATTATAGTCGAATTTCGACTACTGTGGGACCGCTAGTACTATATTAATTTCTTAGACATCTATACTATAAGACTGAGTAATTTTAAAACCCTTGACACAATTTACTTTCAGTGCAGAATTACTTGAACCATCAATTTTACGACAGCCATAATTCCGTTGATTGATTTTCGATAATGCCTCTCCCTTTGCCGTTTATTTAACAATTTCATGCCGAAAATGGGGGCTGCGTTTATATATTTCCACTACCTAAGACGTGGAAGAAGAGTTTACATAGACTAAGTGTTAAATAATTAAATTAGTTCATAGAGAATAAATGGTTAATATCCTCAATCTCTCTCTCAAGAGAGGAAGGAGGAAGTATCATTCTAACCGATGTTTGCAATATGCAAAAAAGGCCTAGTGGTAAACCAGGTTGGGTGGTTTAGAGATAATCGCTGATTCTCTTTTGTTCTTCTATTGGAGACGGTTGGAGTTTAAGGGAATTAAATTCCCTATAAAGTAATAAACCTTATCCGAGCCTCGAAAGAAATAAGTTAGAAATCATAAGAGGCACTCAGGACCTAGCATGGAAAGCGTTTCTCCCCACTACCTTATCCTCACGAGTCGAGTGACCATCAGTCATCGGCACTACAACTGGTCGTATAGGAGGGGAGGATGTAACAGTAGTAAGTAGCTCGAGTTGTCCAGAGTATACATCCATATCTTTTGTACCCAGACAGACTATTACCAGTGTGCTTAGTGCGAGTTTTTTAACGTTCTCGATAGCGTAAAAGTTAGCTCTTATTTGTATGGAATGGGATCGTTTGCGTACCTTTGCCGCTAGGGGTGCTGTTTCAACTGCACACAAAATTGGCTTAACTTTTACGCTATCGAGAACGTTAAGAAACTCGCATTAAGCACACAGATAGATCCATTGACCTAGATTGAATACATTAATGACGGTAAGAGTACTTCACAGATGGCTACCATGACACACAGAATTGAAAAGTAGTTATGGATTTGTTTTTATTGCCCTACTAGGGAGACGAGCATACGGCCCACCTGATTGTGAGTGTTTACCGTTGCCCATGGCGTCAGCAATACCAGGAGCCGAGCCAAGCCGCTGCCTACCGTTAAGTACTCTCCACAAGCCTCGTTTGAAGAAGGACAAGTCATAGCGCTCGGGAAACACCGTGGAGGGGAGCTCGTTCCAAAGCTAGATGGGTACATGGCAAAAAATATATCTAGAAACGCACTGTCGATGAACGCAGTGGCTCCAGGTAGTATGGATGAACTCTACTCCGGTGGCGGGCACTGCGTTGGTAAAAACGAGATGATGGAATCAAATCAACAAAATGATCTCAAAAGATTCTGTTTTATATGCCCTAATGACTTCGAATTCAAGTTTCAAAGTGGCATACCCAGTTTTTTATCTATAAGTTACAAAAATAAGGATAAATACAGAACCAATGTATGTTTCTGACCATTATTGAAACATGTCAAAGAAAATAGCTCGTTCCTTCCTGAAACTATTTACGTACTTCACGATGTATTACATTACGTCCAATTTGCCGAACTAGATATATTTAGTATACGCCAATTGGCCACTAATGAAAAGTGTGTGGGCCAATGTTTGTGGCTAATAAAAGGTCAGTTTATCGCGAACGTGGTAAGAATATAAACCAGGATAAGTATAGCCCCGTTTATGTCCGGACCGTAATTACGAACGGCTCCAGCTACGTTTGTCACGGTTTCTTAAAATTATGACGGTGTAGCTGTTATTGGCGTAGTTTTGGCATATGAAAACGTGTCCGACATTTCTGGCGTATATGTGTGCCCTTTCGTAATATCAGAGCATGAAGAATAATGTTTGGTTAATGCGGTGGGAATATAATGGTTTGTTTTTTTTCGTAAATTAAACTCATGTAGTGAACTCAGCTATTATCTTCAGAGGATAAATTAGTGCTGAGGAGTACATAAGAAAAACGAGTTTGGTTGATATAATGATTTGGATTCTGCATAAGAAAAGTGGATAATACACACATATTCATATTTTATGAGTTCAGTGCCCATGTAAGGAAAATAAAAAAGCTGTATACAATGATTTTCTAAACTTAGATGTTTAGCATAGGGGTATGACATAAAAGCTCTAAAAAGAAGGAAGTGTCGAATAAATACTTAGACAATCCAACAAGCAGTAATATAGGTTTTTCGCCAAACGTTTGGTCCTTTGGACTGTTTTTTAACATGACGAGAACTTCAATTAACCTGGTGGTTTTAAGCTTTTTTTCTTTTAATTAAATACTGGCATATTGTCTCAGCTTTATACATTTGGCCAATGTACCAGTTGGATGAAATAATAACCTACACAACGGAATTTGTGATTATTTTCTGGCAGAAATAGACAGAAGGAATTGAAACCAGTACCGGTATTCAAGCTGGCCGGCCGCCAAACCGTAGCTCAGATCAGGTAACCGCGCTCACCGGACTCTCCGTTGCGACCGTCCTGAGAGAAGCCGAAAACCGAACGATATGGAAGCTGATGGTATTAAAAGCCACGAAGGCCTTTCATGGACACGACTTTCAGCAATGAAGTATGCGACTAAGAAGATGACCGGTACTCAAGAATAGAAAACTAATTTTATTTATTCGAGGCAATTTATCGCTGTCAGTTCTTTCTCTATTCCAGAGAGAAGCTTCAAGGTCAATATTATACAATAGCTGTTTAAGCTGAGGATAGATAAGAAATTCAATATTTTATAATTGCCCAGACTAGTGTACGAACTTGCGGCCCATCGGCTGTTGCTTTAAGTAAGTGCGGGCATCCACTCTGAGATTTGAGGTCTATATTTCAATCGTATAGTAATCACGCAAATTAGATTTTTTGTAAGTTTTATTTTTATTACAAAATGCTAACGTCACCGTGGACCTTCATTGTGGAATTACAAGCATACCGGGTATCTTGTCATTTAACCCACAACGACTTGAACTACGCAACCCACACGTATCTGTTTTCACATAAAAATCATGAAAACCTAATACAATATCTACACATTATTTGAAGTCGTCGTGGCCTAAAGGACAAGACGTCCGGTGCATTCGTGTTGAGCGATGCTCCGGTGTTCGAATCTCGCAGACGGGTACCAATTTTTCTAATGAAATATGTACTTAACAAATGTTCACGATTGACTTCCACGGTGAAGGAATAACATCGTGTAACAAAAATCAAACCCGCAAAAATTATAGTTTGCGTAATCACTGGTGGTAAGACCTCTTGTGAGTCCGCGCGGGTAAGTACCACCGCCCTGCTCGTTTCTGCCGTGAAGCAGTAATGCGTTTCGGTTTGAAGGGTGGGGCAGTCGTTGTAACTATACTTGAGACCTTAGAACTTATATCTCAAGGTGGGTGGCGCATTTACGTTGTAGATGTCTATGGGCTCCAGTAACCACTTAACACCAGGAGGGCTGTGAGCTCGTCCACCTATCTAGGCAATAAAAAAAAACATTATGAATATTTATTAGGTTATTGATTTTTCCGCTTTGTGAAGTCGCGTTTCGGTTCATGAGAAAAAGAAAACGTAAGATACAAAAAAATATAGGGTACGTAAGATTCCCTTTGTAAACGACTTCATTGTACCAGATCTAGTCGTCTCTTTTAGATAATGGAGGATTTTTATTCAATTACGTTAACAGAAGTGCCCTCTACTTTAAACACAAGACGACATCCAGACTGGCTACACTCAATGAAACAATTCAATAACGTTATAATAAAATAAATGAAATATAGCGTTGTTTTAAATTATTTAAAACTATGACGTCATCAATATGTTATAATAAAATATAGCGTTGCTTTAAATTATGACGTCATCAATGAAGACATCAGTATTGTGGTTGACGTGGAGGAACAGAGGAAAATCATAACGATGAAAGCTATAACTTATTTTTAGATGAACAGGTTTGGTTTTTCAGATGTGAATAGTTCAACGGCTCGAACAAGAATGAATATTTTACCTGATATTTAAACTCAGTAATATGAAAACCAAACTTTTTCAAATACCTACCGACATTTAAAAAAAAAACAGTACTAATTTTAAGTTCGTTTTTAAAGTGAACGTATATTATAATTACATACCTTGAGCAGCTTGTTGACCTAATAATTAGTACGTCTGACTACCATATAACAACGTCTGACCTTAATTTGTTCGCCGTTTCTAATGATATTTGGGGTTTGGTTCTGGGATTTGTGTTTCGGTACTCATAACACAAGAGAAAATCTTGAGAAGGCAGAGTCAGTTGCCACGAAATTGTAATTCGGAAATAATTTAACATGTTTCGGTTGCGCCAGATAAAGAGCTACCTATTTCATGATCTTGTACATTAATTACCAATCCCAATATAGCATTATTAGTACGTAAAACATGACCCAAAGAACAAACCATCCTATTTATTACGGTAAATACGCCAGATTTGTAGTCCGGCCAATCTCATTTAACATTATAAATAATATTCTATACTAAGTCTAAATGATATGATCCAGATTTCAAATATCTCTATAAAGAGCGGGTCGTAAGAGAGAGTTGATATTAATTAGCGGGTCCAGCGGGTTATACCATATTAGCGGCACCACCTTACGGCCTCATGGGTGCAATGCCAATATAGAGTCATTTTCGCCGACCATACCGTCGGCCAGGCGTCCCTAGGGTTAGAGCTTTGGTCACCCCTTACACGTCTGCCGGTGCCTAGTGCAAGCGAAAGAGCAGCGGAGCCATTAGCGAGTGGTTAAGGCTGTTTCGCATGTATTACATGCCTTTTGATTCCCAACCCACACTAAAAGATTATGAACTGTTATTTCGCGAAATTCCATCTGCGTGTGAATTGCACTCATATTTTCTCTTTGTTTCAGGTCACTTTCCCTTGGCCGCCCCGTACTGCCTCACCTGGATCTGTCTGGACGTCCTTCTATGTACAGCGTCTATCATGCACCTTTGTACTATCAGCGTTGATCGGTTAGTGATGTTTTTATCTTGAAATACTACGACTAAGACTAATGGTTCAATTACTGATGGTCTATCCGTTCTTTAAATTTAGAATAAAAAAAGCTACGATTTCAATTATTTGGAAATGACATAGTATATTAAATTTATATCATGCGTAATTACTGGTAATGCAGAGTTTTAAGATCACTTCTGTTGATACCAATACTATGTATACTATGTATTTAAGCCTCGAAGCTATAAGTTTTACGATTAAAGAAAGTGTTACATTAATATTTTACCTATAATTTTACATTTAGGAATTTTCGTCAAATACCAATTTTCATAGTTATCAATCAAATCAAATCAAAATTTTTATTCAACATAAATGAAAGTACATACTTGTTGAACGTCAAAAGAACTACCGCCAATTCACAAAAACTAACCTCCGTCCTGAGAAGAATTGGCTAGAAACTCAGCGGGCATGTCTCTTTTTTTTTTTAATCACCAAGGAATAATGCATTATTGCAAAATTACAAACCACGTACCAATATTGAGTACCAATGTACTCAATTCAATAATTGGGTAACATGAAGTGCGTTTATTAGTGCTATGATAAGCAACTCATTAAAAGCTTAAAATGTCTCATGGCTGACTTTACACATTTGATGTTGCAAGATTGAATCTTGAACAGTGAACACATTACAACACCCTGTATATACTTTAATTCATAAAATTCACTCAATACCAACTCTTACTGCATACAGTATGTTGTTTTCATACATTTTCGTTGTTCACTAACAAACACGGCTCCAAAAGGATTTCGCTTCGTTGAACAAAAGGATAAGTGAGGGTGGATCTTTCATTCAGCTAACATAGTGTAAATAAACGTAAAAATTACTTCAGTATTACAAAAGTATTGTCATCTCCAACTGATTTTGGGGCTGTTCAATTTTCTGTCGTTGCGGATGTGAAGCCGGTTCAGAATTGAGTAACGAATTCGGATTTTTTGACAAAATAGAGCAAGCGGCCTTTTGCCTTTATTGGGTATTTATTGAAATTACCAGAGTCCACTGCTCATCTTGAGACGTGAGGTTGAAATTTGTATTGAATGGGATTACGCCTTTCAACCCGCCCATAAGGGCTCTTTGGCATGGAAAACGACCTGTTATTTTTAACAGGAACGCATGGCTTTTTTACAATTGCCAAAAGTGGACAGTACAGTTATAAGTGATAGATCACTGCACTATGAGTAATTTCGCAAAGCTATAAATTTCACTGGACTCCATTTTTAAAACCCAAGTTTATGGCTACATCATGGAAGTCGTATCCAGAATATGTATTAGGCAGATGTAAGTTTAAAAAAGAGTACCAAAAAGCGTGAGTAAGATATAAACTTCAATAGTTCATCTTCCTCCAGATACCTTTCGTTGCGTTATCCGATGAGGTTCGGGAGAAACAAGACTAGAAAGAGAGTCACAGTCAAGATCGCCTTCGTTTGGATTTTGTCCACGGCCATGAGTCTTCCACTGAGTCTTAAGTATTCCAAGGTAAGTTTTATGAATATATATTTTACATTTAAAACAGTTCTTCAAATAAAGAATATTTGCAGTGTTGAGATTAATTAACCTCTGCTAATTATTACTTGGAAGGATTCGCAATATGTGAATTTTTAGGAAAATAAATTTTTAACCATTTCCATATCAAAAATTAACTCAAAACACTCGATTCGGTAGTGTCGTGTCACGCTGGCCAAGGATTATTTCTATACCATCATAACGCCTACGGATAAGGTAAAATGGCCTTGAAGCTTGGACTTGGAATCGGACAAGTGCAACACGGATTTTTTGTTGTCTCCGCAGGTTCATAGCCAAACTCATGAACGGCTCTTCTCTGAAGTATATAAAGTAAAAAAAGCATACAATTCTCTGCAATATGTATGAAATTTTGTTACCTTACCCATTGGTATAGCCGCGGTTAACCAGCTGTGTTGTTAATTAAATAGCTTTTTTTCCCATTATAAAAAAAATCCAAGTACCTAGTATTTGGGGTTTCTTGCTTCACCATGTTCATTTTCAAATGTTTTGGTCCCCCGAAATCGTAATAAACGTAGCTAGTGTCTTAAATATTAAATAGATACCATATATTTCCAATAATTAGTTTATTTAAAGGCGTTTCTAAATATGAAGGTAGCCTATACAGAGGACTAATGAAATCGTCTTCTTTCGTCATTACTTTTTTGTTTTTAACACCAATTTTCAGTTAGTTTTTGATGATTTATAAATGTCTTCATAAAATATGATTTCCTTAGCTTCATAAAGAACATTTTTTATCTCATAAAAACCATTGAAGAATGAATGACTAATGTTATTGGACTTTTCTGTGAATTTCATAGTTACTTCATTTTGTCTGAAGAATTTATATTTAGATCACATTAATTCGACTCCCGAAAGATGCGTATTTAATAACACATTAATTTGAATCTCGTTTAAACAAAACCCTTTGATAGTTTGTAATTAATGAAATATGACTTCTCTCAACTATTCGTCTAAATCGTTTTCATTAAGAATCTTTGAATTTCATTCAAATACATTAATTCATAGATCTTCAAGGCTTCTTAATTTATTAGCATCGTTACGAAAATTATCTTTGTAACGAACTTTTGAATTCTAAGTATTTTCGATCTAATTGTTGACAATGCTTCGATCTAAGTGTAAGACTATTTAATATTCGAACTGATTAGTTATAAACTTATTAAATTCTAAACCGGACCATTCCTTACGACTCTATTTGTTTTTGTTCATAATTTCAATTAGGGTTCTAGGTGCAATGAAAACACTGAATGATCATAAAGATTACAAAAGATACAAACGACTTTAATATTTCTAAACACACTTTGAAACTGGAATTCGAAGGTCTAACTGCATCAGATGGCTATAAAGGTTTTTTAGATACTTGGTACTGACAAGACCGTAAGTAGTTAAAACCTGCCTTAGAATTCAGCCAGTTCACTACAAGTAAGTAAGTCAACTCTGCATGAGATTATCCTCAAACCTACATGCTCATATACAATCCAGTTGTGGGTTAAGGCTAGCAATTATATTATAAGCAATTATTGAAAGTTTTTCGAGCTAGACACTAAGAACTTCAAGATGGACCAGACAATCATTAGACATACTAAAAACTATCAACCTAGTAAATCATCTATGAACTGGCGTTGTAATGTGTCATTTATTGCAGATTGAAAATTAGTAGCAGCCCTAACGTTGCCGCGTGACTCTGAAGCAATTAGCAATGATAGGACCTCCCAGTAACTCTGTCAGTCGATAAAACTGAATATGCAAATCGATTACCAAATAAACGGCTTATTATTTTAAAAAATCTTATCTACATACCCAGCGAGATTACAGAAAGAAAAAAAGCTAGTGATAGATATAATAATATATAGTAATATTATAAAGAGGAAAGATTTGTTTGTTTGTTTGTTTCGAATAGGCTCCGAAACTACTGGACCGATTTGAAAAATTCTTTTTCCATTAGAAGCCGACATTGTCCCTGATGAACATAAGCTACTTTTTTTAACTTTTTTTTATTTTATTTTTTTGGTTTCATGTGTGTTTTAATGTTTCCGAAGCGAAGCGAGGGCGGGTCGCTAGTAATATATATAATGACACAAGTCTGGATCATCACTGCCAGGAGTACGGATACAGCTATATAATATTTAAGGCACTATTTCTAGATTTTTTAGTACAAGGACAACTCATAGCCTTCTGGGATCGTGAGGTATTTTCATGTATTATCATCGTCGAAAGAACAGGCCCATTGGGCAACGAATCCGTAAAACAATAATCACACTAAAGTAGCTTCATCACAATATTTTAAATCACCGATAACTCAAATTTCTAGATTTGATAAATAATCTAGAACAAAATGTGCTAGCAACTCAAAAATATATTATTAGGTAATGTTATTTGGATATGGAAGGACTCTGGATCTTGACTTCATAATCGCCCACCTTTAGATTGGATTTCGAAATACCAATTGTTTGTAATAACGAATATCCTACGGCAGTTGAGGGTTAATAAATGACTGAATTATAAACGAATTCGAATACAATTTAACTTGGCAGCAATTTTCAAAGTTGGGAGCTTCATAAATACTCGAATCGTCGTGACACACTGTTTTAAACTTTGACAATCTAAATTGGATTGGATGTACTTATTTTCTTTGGTGCTATTTTTTTCCTTCCTATTCGCTAGTAGTCTAGGGGGCCATTCCAGCTAAGCCCGGACCGGTAGGTGTGCTCACTGGCTCAACCTGAGTGAATTTGCTAACACTAGCCTTACCAAGAGCAGTCCTTCACAGAATCTATCACCCGATCGGAACCGCGACCCACTGAGAAGATACGGAGAGAAACTCAGTGGGCTGAGTCTTTGGGAATTTTTATATCAGCTTACATTGGCATACGAACAAGCGACTGTGTTGGCATAAAGACCGATTAGCAATGCCGGGTTTAGAGTCTCCTTGAGTGTACATACACGAACAAATAGACAAATAAATTTAATTTTAACTGGTAACCCAATTTAACTGGTAGCGAACTAAACAGATATTGCAATTTGAATATTGAAGGAAAAAATGTCAGAGAAAAACAAATGAGTCTTTTCATTCAAAGGGTCATTAAATTTTTTGGCTCTAGTATATTTTTCAACGGCCTTACCGGAAGACCTCTAACTTCCGAGTCAGCAATTAGTGCAGTCAATAGCGTCTATTTCTTAAAATTGCTAATAGCTCATAAGGAAATGTGAGTAAGCGACACCGACCTCATCCAATTATCTGCTGTTACTGTCTCTGTCATCCGTCCGCAGTAGCAATGTCTTCAGTCATTGCCATCTAACGCCCTTAATACCTTAAGCACTGGTAATACCTACCCCACAAAAGTAATTATGGAAAGTCTGTCGAAGTTCGAATAGGTTTTAAATAAGAATTGGCTTTTAAAAATTGGATGCAGACAGAATACTGAAGCAACGACACAGGCGTGTCATTTAATACGTATATAAATGAATGCTTAAAGTTCTGCATTGTACTTTCTCGGTGGTCAAAAGTCGCTTATTTTAATTCGGAGTATTTTTCCACTTTTCAGCCCTAAGCAGTCCTCCCGATCAATTAACGGTGCTTTTTGGTACCTCAAGCACCGGTCACCGTCCTCGCCGAACCCGTCGCTTGCGACGAAGAGCTCGGCGAGTAAATTAACCCATAGATACAGCCCACTGAGTTTCTCGCCGGATCATCGTAGTGGATCACGTTTCCCATCCGGTGGTAGATTCTGCGAAGCACGGCTCATGCTAGGGTTCGTGTTAGTAACACTCCGGTTTGAGCTCCGTGAGCTCACCTACACGTCAAGGAGAAGCTGAAATAGCCTCTCAAGGCTATCGGTATTGGGTCGGTAGGGAAAAAAAAACACTTTCCACTCGATGCTTACACGTTTTGTAAATAATCGCAAATAGTGAGAAGTATCACTGGATTCTGAGACAAAGTCTTATGTGTTTCGGAAAATTCATTTGTATAAGCTTCCCTTCAAAGTCTAACAGCATTATTTGAACCGAACAGGAATTTGTCAAAAGTTTTGGAGGCCCGACCCTTGTCGCGATTTAATTTCAGCCCGTTTCGTTTTATTATTACTACTTGTGTGGAAATAATAGGCTTTTCGACCAACTTTAGAAGCATAGTGTGATACAATGTGATCCGATCAGGAACTTTGTGATATAGGTTAATATAATAGTGAGCAGTCTACACAACGTATTTAGCATAGAACAATAATGGCGATGTAGTATATCTTTACATAGCCACTAAATCTTTCAGTTTATGTCATTATTAGCTTCATTACAAATCAGCAAAAGCGACTAATTCTTCATTATTATTTTGTTATTCGCCATCACCGCTATCACGGGACAACATTAGCTGTTCTATGATAAATATTCTTTTTTTATGGCTTAGATGGGTAGATGAGCTCACTGGTGTTAAGGCCCACCTGGTGTTAAGTGTTTACCGAAGCCCATGGGGATTTACAACGTAAATGTCGCCACCCACCTTGAGATATGAGTTCTGAGGTCTCAGTATTATTCTATTACAACGGCTTCCCCACCCTTCAAACCGAAACGCATTAATGCTTCACTGCAGAAATAGGCAAAGTGGTGGTACCTAGCCGTGCGGACTTACAAGACGTTCTACTACCAGTAACGATGGCAGAGGGTTCAGTAATAAAAATACAAAAGTCGAAAGATTTCTCAGAGCACATTCCATATGAAGCACAAGGTAGACAAAAACACTGCACAAACACATAGTGAGAAACAGACTCTCTGCAGTGCGATATCTCTGTGTTATCTTGTATTTAATTTAAGTAAAAATTTAGCTTCAAGTCAAAGTTTAGTAAATCTTAAATATTACGATTCCCGAAGAAACGCGAAATCCCACAAACGATAATCATCGAACCTATCGAGTCCATTCGGTTTATTTCGATATCTATTTATAGAAAGCATATTTACTCGAAACA